TATAATGACCATGTTGTTATATTGCATTAGTTTACCTTTAAGTTTTCAACATGACATTATAAACATGTATAAGTGATGAGACTTGTTCAATTAATTAATCTTGTGACAACTCACATGATATTTCAAATATGGTATAAAAATATGATTATTATAACATTATTGACATATAATTATAACAAATCAAAAGTTGATACATAACTTAGCATGTCATATTTAAATTGTGAGCCTCAATATTTTTTCAATTAAAGGGGTATTTAAATATTAATTTTTAAAGGATCTTAAATCGACTAGAGTGAGCCCAATTTTAGGGGTTAAACAAATAGGTTGAGCTTCTCTCATGTTAATTTTAGGGTTTATTATGGGCTTCGTTTAAATGATTTGAACCGTCCATTTTATAGAATTCTCAATATATATAATTCATAAGAAAATTTAGGTCAATCCGATAATCGTAACATTTTATTTTATTTCATTTATCACTAAAAAAATGAATGATCTACTTTAAAAATATATTTATCGTCTATTTTTTCGAAGACAAATGCGATAAAATGAAAAAGTTATGATTATTGGATCGATCTAATTTTTTCCATAGATGATATACATTGAGGACCTTACAAAATGAACAGTTTCGATTGTTGAAACGGTACATGTGGTCGGCTCTATAGACCCTTTAAAATTATCTCATGTTGAGATCTCATTATGAAAGAACTTGAGGGGCCCATAGAATCTATTACAAGTCTTATTTCAATGATTCAAATCATTCATTTTGTAGAATTCTCAATGTATATTATTCATGAAAAAATTTAAGTAAATCTAATAATCGTAACTTTTTTATTTTATCACATTTATCTCTAAAAAAATAAATAATCTATTTTAAAAATATAAAAAATGTGAGAGGTACACCCCTCCTAGTCTCTTTTTACCTCTATTCTGTTTGTATGGATGTCACATAAATCAATTGCGGTGATGACATTGCCACTTATGACACTGAATAATGTTTTAATGACAACCTTAATTGTGTTACTCATGATTGTTGAAGGAAAAGGAATGTTTTAAAAAACATCAATTATTTGATTTGTGTAAATGAAACATTTTTGAAAATTTAGAAAAGAACTTAAAACTTAGAAGTGTTTTTAAAAATAATTTTTTTTTTTTTCTATCAATGTGTTTGGTTTGAGTTTTTTAGATGAAATTTTTTGAAAATTGAGTTTTATAGTTTTCATATTTTTTGGTTTTTTTTGTTTTTAGTGAATATTTTTAAAATTTTAAATATTTTTTTTTACTTTTTTAGATGCATCTTACTTAGATGAATCTAAAAAGTAAAAAAATTATGAAAAAATATTTTAAAAAATTAATAAATATATAAAAATACAAAAATTGTACTGAATTCTCGTTTTTTTTTTTTGTATTTTTGGTATTTAGTGAATTTTTAAAAGGTTTTTTTACAATTTTTTTAAAAACTTTTTAGGTATATTTATGTTATGTATGTCTAAAAATTTTAAAATTTTTAAAAAAATTACTTAAAATATTAAAAAAATTCAATAAAAACAAATAAATAGAATTTTTTAAAAAATATTTTTCCTTTTTTCTACTTTTGACAATAAAAAACAAATGTTGTATAAAAGATACATTTCCCACAAAACTTCCATATTTTAGGGTAAATCTCAAATAAGTGACACTGGAAAATTAATTTCATTTTTATATTATAATTATATTATGGAGCGGAATTGGTATCCGAATGCAATTATCTATTGTGTTTAGTGTAAAGAATCAAACTTGCACCAAAAAGATTTTCAAGTGAAATGCAGACTGTTCCACTAACATAGAATTTGCCCTGTTTTTAGAATCATGGTGGTGATAGCTTAATGAGAGGTGGTCAACGAAAAGAGAAAAAGACAGATAATAATAATAATAATTTAATGCTTTTTTTTTTTCTTACAACTCCCAAATCACTTTTGTATAAAACTTTCACACAATTCAATTGTTTTTCCACGTCCACGTGGTCATTAGCATTTCATCTTCAATAATTCTGAAACAGCAATGGTAGGTACGATGAAAAATTTTTTATAAAAATAATTATGAAATTTTTATGATTCTTGAATTATACTTAGAATAAAGTACCACACACTAATCAACCTAATTAGTGGGAGCACTAATTAGTGCTCCCAAACATTTTTCATAAAAATAATCATGAAATTTTTATGATACTTGAATTATACTTTAGAATAAAGTACCACACACTAATCAAAGTAATTCAAGAATTATAAACCTTTTATAATCATTTTCAAGAAAAAATTTTCATGATTCTTAACTTTTCTCATTCCGAAAATATGCAGTTGAGTATTTTGAAATCAACAGAGAAAGGTCAAAGGCAGGACATATGAAGATTGCTTCCTTTGTTGGGAAGATTGTTGGAACCCTCCAACCTACAATTTACAGCTGGGGTGGATGATATAATTCATATACTTTCTCGGTTCATTAAAATATATAGAAGAAAGGCAGCAGCCAGCTTCAACTTCAATGGTTTTAGATTAATAAACTAAAATTGGACCAAAGAGAACAAATTCACGTGTCATTACTGGTACCACATCTCAATCAAGCCTCAGTTATGTGAGTGAGAGAGAGAGAGAGAGAGTAATGTGGACAAGGAACCTGAATCTAGCTTACCAACCCAACCGAAACCACTCTGTTCAGACATATTTAATATTTCATCAGAAGCCATAGCAATATCAAAAGCAAAATTAGGTGTATGCATCATCTGATATGTAAATACAGGGCCAACAATATAACAAATTAACAATTATGATTCTTAATGACAAAATGAGACCAAAGAATAACAACAATTCAAAGCAATGTAGACATCATACCCGAATTCAACCTCAATTGACAGAGACAGAGAGAGAGATAGAGACAGAGAGATTGAGACGTGAAACCTGAATTTTCTTACTAAAACAACCAAGCTCTGTTTTTTCAACAAATCAATTTTTTTTCATCATATGCAAAAGTAAAATTGACGTGTAAAAGATATGTAAATTGTGAAACACGGATAGGATATGAATATAGTGATACAAATATGACAATTTTAAAAAAATATAAAAATAAAATACAGGGTTGACGGAAATATGCTCATAAAAAATATATTTTATGATTTGTAATAGTAGATTATATATAATTAGAAAATGATATACAAAACACACTGGAGAAGATGACCCGTTAGAGGGAGCGTTGAAGATTAGAGGAGACTTGTCCGAATACGTCAGCGTCAGTGTCGGCAAGATTTAAGGTTGGCAAGATTAATGTTTGATTGAGAGATTTGAAAAATAATTTAAAAAGAAAAAAAGAAAATGTAAGTGAAACATGAATAAAATATATCTACATTTCATATAATTTTATACATTTTTTTTTTCTTTCTAAATATCTTCTCAGATCCCAACCAAACACATAATAAGAGATTGACTAAATGTGAGACCAAAGATGAGATTTGATTTTAACCGAGAGAAAGAGAGAGAGGCCTGTTGAGAAAATATAAAGAGAAAAGATGGAGGAGGAGAGTTGGAGCGAAGACTTATTGACAGACAATCCATAGATTAATCTGATAAGAAAATTCTAAACTGATTAATTTGAGATATTTGTAAAAATACCTTTTATTTTTTTTTTTTGGAATTTTAATAATACAATACTACGAACCCAAACTTAATTAATCAGAAATTATTCGAAACTATTATTTTGTGTATATACCTTGTATTATACAAATTTAATCTCCATTACACCGTCACACATCCATAAAAATCTGAGTGATTTTATCTGAGTTCCAGATTTTTTTCTTTAAGAATACACTATATTATTAAAGAAAGAAAGAAAAAAAAAACAATACATTAAATTATCAATATACCTAATATGCACACCTACAATATATATATATATATATATGTGTGTGTGTACATATTGCCAGTAGTGAAGTCAGGAATTCAGTGAAGATAGGGCACAAATTAATGACAATATTAATTTTGTTTTTTTCTCATAATAAACAATAATGAGATATTACTAAACATAACTATTAAGAGTTAATTTGGATAGATGTGAATTTTAAATAAAAGGATTTGAGATTAAATTTTATACAAATATTGTGGAGTAACTATTTTTGGTGGATTGAAAAATTAAAAAAGAAGATAAGTTGAGATAGAAATGATATATTTTAGTAAAGAAATTCTATAAAACACACCACAAAAAAAATATCTATCATATGTCGCAGTTATGATCTTTGTAGTTTTCAGTTATGACACATTATAATGTTAGATATAACTTAGTTATAACTTCTTATGATTGTTATTTGATTATGATTAAAGAGGTCTTTTGATTATACATCAAGTAATGATTTGTAATGATTCATTTTGAAATTAGTTATGACTTATTTTAATTTTTTTTTTTGGGTTATAATTAGAGATGTGTTGTTTAGTTATAATTTATACAGTAGTCATTTTAATTATGAATGAAAATAATTTGGTTATGAAAATTTATAATATCAATACCATTCCGTTTGGGAAGTGGGTTGGCTTTTTGGCTTTTTGACTTTTTTGGCTATTTTAGCCTGGGCTAAAAAGCTTGGTTTGGGAAGGACTTTTTGGCTTTTTGACTTTTTTTTGTGAGAGAAGAGTGTAATGATTATGGGTTGGATGTGATGTTTTGTTTGTTGTGGCTAAAATAGCCTGTTTTGTCTTTTGTGGCTATTTTAGCCCCAACCCACTTGCCAAACACCATATGGTACATCTCTTTTGGAGGTATATAATAAAAGGACTTATTTTAATATGTTCATTGTAATTAGAAACAAAATTTATAGTAGAGGGGCTATTATAATTTGAAAAAAAAGAATATTATTATAATTTTATAAAGGATGTGCCCCCTCTGGACATACACTGCCTCTGCCCCTGCATATTGTCGATGCTTCATCAATGTAAATACAGAGCCATTCACCCACCAAGAATAAATTGACAATTATTCACAACTGACCCCCGAAAAAAAAAAAAAATTGGTACGAAAATTCACTACCAACATATTACATAGAAAACTGAAAGAGTACAGGGGTAGGAGAAAAATTGATGCTATAAGGTAAATCAGATTATGAAAAGAAAATGCAAAGTTGATTCATAATGACAAAATGAGCCCAAAGAATGAAAAACAAATCAGAGCAACCAAATTAAGTAAGCTGAGGTCGATATTGAAACAATGAAGAACAATTTATTCACTCTGCAACTGATTATGGTGGTGCACCCAAATCAACAGAGTAAGCCTTCTGCTCATCTGCATCATTCATTATGTCGCCAAATGGGTTTTGCTGTTGTTGCTGTAAGCTAGAACGACAAAGCTCTTCAATTTGGGCATTCAGTTCAGCCATTGAAGGGCGCTTATCAGGGTACTGTGCAACACAGTCAATGGCAAGCTGCAAGAGCTGAACCATCTCTTCCTCAACATTTTGATACCTAAGAAGCTCAAGATCAAACACCTCAGCGGTCCATTCCTCACGAACCACAGACTGGACCCATCGAGGCAGGTCTACACCCTCCTCATTCAAGAGGGCATGCGTTGGAGCCTTACCTGTTAGCAGCTCCAACAGCAATACGCCGAAACTGTAGACGTCTGCTTTTTGGGAGACTTTGCGGGGATCGGTCACCTCTGGTGCTCGGTAGCCGGCAATGCGGTTGGGAGTGGAGCTGGGTCCCACAAGTTGGGCAAGGCCAAAATCGGAGACACGGGCCTCGAAGGAAATAGTGAGGAGGACATTTGATGACTTGATGTTGCCGTGGGAGACTGTTGGGCCCTGTGAGTGGAGGTATGAAATCCCACGTGCAGCTCCAAGGGCAATGGCAGATCTTGTTTCCCAGTTTAATGGTGTCCTACCAGCTCCTCTGTTTCCTGTAATGGGAAAAAATGGAAAATTTTAAATTATAGTAAATAGAAAGCTATTTGGGGAAAGAATATAACTCTGTGTTGACAATTTCTCTTGCTATAGGCCTACAGTATCAAGAAGGGTCTAAACAGGTAGCTGAATGTTAGCTCTATATCATGTGTAAACCTCACATTTGAAACCTTTCAAGTTGGTTTAGAGGAACTCAACTCCACTAGGCAGTAGTCAAGTAATCAGAGGCGGAATTTTGGAAGTTTCTTTGATTTTTAAAATCAAATTTGTAAGAAATGATTGTAATAATCAAACTTCATGGCATTAGAATGCAAGAGGAAAATGCTTCATTGCAAAAGATCATGCAAATTTTTAATTAAGATCAAAGTCCATTACAAGAAAAGTGTTTTGAAGTGGTATATACCTCAAACCTTGGACATCAAAGGAGTAAACAAAAATGGACATATACCACTGCAATATCATTTTCCTTACTATATAGTTCACGACAGCCACTGGACATAGAGCCGAAGGAAAATGGTTGGGACCACTTTTTTGGGGAACCCCGCCACCCCCAATTGATCATGATTGGCCAACTTTTTGTTTTTTTCTTTTTCCTCCTATCTCTGGCTGACATGTGCTCGTGGAGATTGTGAGGGTAAAAAAAAAAAAGGTCTGTATCATTTCTGTATAACCAAAATAAGCTTCACTATTAATAAATTTAACAACACTTAAAAAGTCTCCTTTCTATTATTCTAGGAAACAAATTGCATAATGGATTAAAAGAGAAATGATTTCCAAAGTGTGTGACATGTTTGGTATCATTTTTTCTATTTTTGGAACCAAAAATAATGAGAAGTTCAAAAGAAAAAAACTACATCAATTTTCACATCATTATTTTCTTTTGTTCAAAAGCATTTTCAAAAAATATGAAAATAACCTTTTCGATGTTTCCCCAAAAATTGGTTGTTTTTCAAAAATTTTTCCTAAAACCAATTTTTGGAAATAATTTTTTTCATTTTGTAAACCAACATAAACCAAACTAAGCCTTGTAACAATCAAGTGAGCTCACCTATATGAATCCTTTTTTCATAGTTTTTTGCCAGGCAAGTCCTTGAGTTTTCATCATATAAGAAAATGAACACAAACATATCCCCACAAACACAATAATACATAAAACACTAATCTACCTAACACAAACAAATCTACCTAACACAAACAAGTCCTTAAAGTTCACTATTTTAGTGACAGATCTTCCTACTTTATCCTAACCCGCAATTTTAACCTACTTACCCCTATACTCGACCCACCCTGTCAATACTCTCTCAAATCTTTTCTATAGAATTGCATAGAGTATAATACAATCGGGTTGGATAAATTTGCTCTCCCAAACATGTATTTGGTTATTGTTTTTAGCTACAATAAACATAAGACAATAAAGTGTAAACAATGAAGAAATCAAAAGAAGGCAGACAATGAAAATACTAACAAATCTAAAAGACAGAACACTATATATGTAAAAGAAGAGCTCTCACCATGTAAAAGTGCAGACAAACTTCCCATTGGCATATAATCATAGACAAGAAGCTTCTCATCCCTGCTATAATAATAAGCCCTCAAAGGAACCAAATTCTCATGATTCATAGCTCCAACCCCTTCAATCTTCTCCCTAAATTCATTCTCCGGCACCGTCACATCCCTCAACCTCTTCACCGCCACCACCACCCCCTTCTCCAATCCCGCCTTATACGCCGTCCCAAACGTCCCTTTCCCCAACACCTCTGCCGAAGCCCTCAACAAATCCTCCAAATCAAATCCCCTCTCCGATTTTCCAAAAAACACTAAACTCTTTTTTCCACCCATATTCTCCTCCACCTTCTTCGCGGGTGCCGGTGCCGTCGCCGGAAAATTATCCGTATCTCGGGCTGATTTTTCACCCGGAATTTCAATTTCCGTTTGCTTCACTGCAGCCACTTCCCTCGAATATTCTTTCTTATTACTCTTTCTTTTGCACAAACATATCAAAATTGCCACGATGAACAAGAACCCAATTACCGATCCGATTATAATTCCGGCAATGGCACCGCCGGAGAGTTTGTTTTTGCTCTCACTCGGGGTGGTAGTGCCAGTGGCAGTGCCAGAGCCATTGCAAGACAAGAGCGGACCACCACAGAGCGAATTGCCAGCAAATGCGCTGGCAGGGTTGTTGCTGAGTCTAGAAGGAATCGAACCGGTTAATTGATTGTTGGAGACATTGAATTGAATGAGACTCGGGATGTTGAGGTCAGGGATGGAACCAGTGAGCTTGTTGTTTTCCAAGTAGAGAGTGCCGAGACGGGTGAGATTGTTGAATGAAGGTGAGATCTCGCCGGAGAAGTTGTTGGAAGCGAGATTGAGCCGGATGAGATTCGTGAGAGAGAAGAGAAAATCCGGAATTGGACCGGAAAACAGGTTTCCCTGGAGATAGAGGTAGCGGAGATCAGAGATGGAGGGCAAGTCGGAGGGGAGTGGACCGGAGAGGGCATTGAACCGGAGGCTGAGGGTGTGGAGACCGGTTAGATTACCAATGGTTTTGGGTGGGACTTGGCCGGAGAGTCCCATTCCGGGGACGTGGAGCTCGGTGACACGGCCGGAGTCGCAGATGACGCCAGGCCACGAGCATGGGGTGGGCTCGGAGAGGTTCCAGAGAAGGGATCTGCCGCCCACGGCGGAGCGGAGGCCAAGAAGCGCTGCTCTATCGGCGGAGAGGTCTGGTTTTCCGGTGGGGAAAAGGAAGAGAGAGAAGAGAATGGTGGCGGCGAAGAGGAGATTTGGCACCATTTCTGGGCTGTTTTGATGCTAAAAGCACTCGAAAGTCTGGCGTTTCGAGGCTATGAAGTGTGGAGTGGGTGTCATGAAACTCTTTCCGTTCTCTCTCCTGTTTGATTGTGCGTCATTTTAGAGAGAGAGAGAGAGGGTGTTGGGCGAGGGAAGGGGAGTGGTTGCCTATTTAAAACCCTAGTTTTGGAGTGTTGCGAGGGAACTGGGTACAGTGTCGGGAGGTGCCATGTGCGTGTGGGGATGTTATATGTGCAGGGAAATGAAAAAAACTGCTGCAATTTCTTAATTTTGTAAAAGTTTGCGGGAGTTAATGAAATTTGATTTAAAATAGTACTTCTTCTTTTATTTTTATTTTTATTTTTTTAAAGGAGAAAAATAGTACTTATTGTTAATTAAAATTATATTAATTTAAGAACCTACTTGCACGCAGATACAGCGAAGAAGATTTGAGATTCTGATTAATAGTGTGATTGAATGTGTCACCATTGTCTGTGAGCGTGCTGGCAAGTAAAGCCAAGCTGGATTTTCGATATGTTTAGAAAGTCTAGGAATTAAAAATGCAATCATAAAAATACCATGGATTTGACTTTATTATTATTTTTTTGTTTGAAATTCCTGGTGTATATTTAGGAGCTCAATGGTCTCTAGTCCACTTTGATGTTGCGATGATGTATGAGGATAATTACGAGTTTCGTTTTAATTGTTTGCGCTGTTTATGTTTGACATTTTAGTTACGTTTGTTTGATAGATTAGGTTAAATGAGATTGTTAGTGAAAAGATTATTAATGAAGAGATTGTTAATGTTGAGATTGTTAATGAGAGGATTAAATAAAAGTGTGTTTGTTTTGATGGTATTATGCGAGTTGATTAGTGATGAGATTGTTAAATTACTTTTATATAAAATAAATAAATAAATTATTTTTATATTAAAAAAATTAGAACAAATATTAAAATAAACAAGTGCACTTGGTTAAAAAAATAAAATTATAAAAAAATAAATTTTATATATATAAAATAGACTTAATCCTCTCACTATTTTTCTAATTCCACCCAAAATCCAGCCAAGCTAATTCTCCTATGTGAGGGCATTCATAGTCTCATAACACTACTAGTCCCCTTCTATTTTTGTCAACCAAACATGGGCTATGTAGGACCTACAAGATTGATAATTCAATCCCTCCACTTATGGAGCCAAACAAACATGACCAGTGTAGATTATTCACTAGAAAACATTAAGTGTGTGTTTGTTTGGATGGACAGGATAATGGGAGATTGTAATTCATCGGACTGTTAGTCTCGGGATACATTGTCCCTAGACTATTTGGTTGGATTAGATTTGTATCCTATGTTTGTTTAGTCATGTGATTAGATGTCTGGATTAGACTATTTTTAGTGAATCCAATATTTGGTTAGACGGACTGGATAAGGATAAATGTTCAAAAGACTATTTTACCCTTGTAATTTATATTTTTTATTTAATATATAATTTTAAATTAACAACACTAAAAAAATAATTTTATTTAATATGTAAATTTAATTTTTTAACAATACTAAAAAAATTTAACTTATAAGGCCATAATTTTTAATTTATTATTTCTAATTAAACTAAATTTATAATTTATAATTTATAATTTATAATTTAAATTTTTTATTTAATGTATAATTTTAAATTAACAACACTAAAAAAATAATTTATAAATGTTTAAAAGACTATTTTATCATTTTCGAATTGTTTGTTAAGTAATAGCATGGGAGTAAAATAGACATTTCAGAGCCTAATCCCATGGGATACCAATCCCATGGAAATAATCCCACCTCCCCTATGGGATAGGATAGTCTTATATTTGTGGGACTAATAGTCGGGGGGACTATTAGTCCAGAGCAAAATTTTTCAAACAAACAATGGACTATTAGTCCGATGGGATTAATAATCCAATCCCACACCCTAATCCTTTAAAACAAACATACCTTAAGTTAATTACATATATGTAGTTATATAATTTTATCATATTTGTTTTTTAAAAAATGTACGATTTATTTTCAAAATCATTCTTATTGTTTATTTTTTTAAAGACAAATGTGATAAAATTATATAACTATGTATATTAGATCGACATAATTTTATATGAATAATGTGTACAAAGTGACCTATAATATAAACGACTCAAATAATCACAACAAATGATCTATACAAAAGTGATAAATGACTCAAATAATCGAAACAGAACCGTATGAATGTTAGACGGAACGGGCTAAAATTAATTAAATTAGTCACATTCCGCTATAGAAGTTCGGACAATCTTAAAAGGGCTCTTTTTTGATAAATCCTATTTGTAACTGCTTTATTCCATGAAACCCAAACTATTTTTTAATATTCCATTAGGTCCATTAATTGTAAAAGGACGAAATAACCCTCCTCCGCCTCTCCCGCGTCTAATCGATTCTGCAAAACCCATTCCCATTCCAACTATTCAATCCACAAAATTTCCAAAACAAAAACTGATCGTCGACTCCAGATTCACATCGCCTCACCATCGTCATCGTCGTCCACTGTCCACCGTCGACCCCAGATTCCTCTTCATCTCACCGCTGCGAAGGTTTACATTGGAAGGAGGGTGCTTTGTCGTTCCAAAATTCCTGTCGTTGGATTGAGTTGATTTCATCCACTGAGTGTGGTCCATACCCATCTACCATAAAGAATAAAAGTAAGCAATACCATTCCACTTTCTGCTTTTCAGTCATAATGTGATCACCGATGTATATATTTACATTGCCCTATAACTATTGTTGTTTTCGGAATTGAATTTGTAAACATAGATGATGTGAACATTCACATTACTGTTCATTACTGGATAAACTTACATTAGTAGACACTAATGTGAACATTCACATCAGTGTATAATGATGTGAATGTTCACATTACTGTCACTGTTGATATTGTTGATTGTTAATGTCCATAGAACCCCCAAGCTTCAGTCAACAATGTAACATTCACATTATTGTTCATTACTGGATAAACTCACATTCGTAGACACCGATGTGAACATTCACACATCAGTGTATAATGATGTGAATGTTCACATTACTGTCAATGTTGATATTGTTGATTGTTGATGTCTATAGAACCCCCAATTTTCACTCAACAATGTGATGAAATATGATGTAAATATTCACATTGTGACATCAATGTCAGAATTGTTGGTGTTGTTGGGTGCTGTTGGTTCCACCCTTTGATTTTCAGCCAATTATAACATAATGTGATCATCCATGTAAACATTTACATTGCCCTGTAACTGTTATTGTTTTCAGAATTGATTTTGCAAACATAGATAATGTGAACATTCACATTACAATACTGGATAAACTGACATTAGTAGACACTGATGTGAACATTCACATCAGTGTATAATGATGTGTATGTTCACATTACTGTCACTGTTGATTGGTGATTGTTGTTTGGTGCTGTTGGTTCCATCCTCTGTTTTTCAGCCAATTATATGTTCTTATTTGAACAAACAGGTTTTCCCCGTAGATTTGATGGCAAACGAAAGAGAGGGGAATCCCGTACCAAAGCCAAACCTGATCAAACAGTTGGTCCTGAAGAAGTGAACATGAAAAAGGTTAACTACCGGTCAAATATAACTGGATTGGTGAAACTATTGAAGAACACAAAATTTACAAGTGGTCAATTGAAGTGCCTTAGAAAAACACCGTTTTGGCCCTTATTTGATTGCTTGATCATCAATGAAGTCGACCTCAACCACTGCATGAAATATGATGATGTCATTGTACGTATAGTGCAGACATTCAAGCCATCTAGTGGGAGGTTTTACATCGGGGATAAGAGCATTCAGATTTTTAGAAGTGATGTATCACTTATTTTTGGGGTGGACTGCAGCACCAAGTCAATGGACCTCTCTTATGGTGCAAAACCAACGACCGGCATCATACACCGAATGTGCAAGAATGTTAGTCGGTTAAGTGCTGCCAAAATACGAGAAATTTTGAGCGAAGCATTAAAGGGCACAAAGAAACAAGACAATGAAGAGGTCGCAAGATTAGTTTGCATGTATGCATGTGTCAAGTTGTTCTTTTCTACGTCCGGAGAAACAATTGGATGGGCTTTCTACTCATACATGGACCCATTAGACAACATGATCGACTATGACTGGACTGAGAGCATCCGGGCAACCCTGATGGGTTCAGTGGGCCAAAACTGTGGAAAATCAGGACGAGTCACCGGATGTGTGATGTTGTTAATGGTAAATCTCATAGAACTTATTCTATGTTTAATATGAACATTTACGGGGTTTTCCCACTCTGATGAGAATGTTCACATTACTGAACAATGGTGTGGAAGTTGACATCAGTGATGTAAACATTCACATTACTGTTCAGCAATGTACAAACACACATTAGTATACACTGGTAGAAACATTCACATCAGTGTAGATTGATGTGATGTTAGCACCAAAACAAAGGTGGAACATTCACATTACTGATGTGAATGTTCACATTACTGGGCAATGATGTGGAAGTTTACATCAGTGATGTAAACATTCACATTACTGTTCAGTAATGTACAAACACACATTAGTAGACACTGGTGCAAACATTCACATCAGTGTAGATTGATGTGATGTTAGCACCAAAACAAATGTGGAACATTCACATTACTGATGTGAACATTCACATTACTAGGCAATGGTGTGGAAGTTGATATCATTAATGTGAACATTCACATTACTGTTCAGTAATGGATACACACACATTATTAGGCACTGGTGTAAACATTCACATCAGTGTTAATTGATGTGAACATTCACATTACTGGCCACTGGCGTAAACATTCACATCAGTGTTATTTGATGAGAACATTCACATTACTGATGTTTGTTATTTGTTTTAGTACTGGTTGTGTAAGCATACAACCATCTTACAACCCCGCAACCCTAATGCCATTCCGAGATGTGTGAAGTGGGACCTCACAGCCTTACATACCAACATGAAGTCCATATCTTTGGCTAAGCTTGGTTTAAATGAGGTAGAAGTACGACAAAAAATATTGTGCCCATTCACATAGTTCACATGATGAGACAAAGGAACTATGTAACTAACATAATGTCTCCAACTGCAGGTATATGGCGGCGAGCT